ACTCTGCTACCCACCCTCACATGGCCTTCAGCAGGCGGAGACACAAGTCCACCGCTCTCGGCTATGGCAAGCATTCCTAAACATCTTAAACCCCTAAACTCAAAGGCTGCATTGAAATAGGGCCGGCAATGCTTGCAGCAATACAGGTCATGTAACTCCTGGCGCCCACCAGGTTTTGAACAAATGCCTGCATGAAAGGAAAGAAGGCCTAGCAACAGGACTGGTTTGCCACGCCACAAACAGGCAGCACCCAAAAAACAGGACATGGCCACCAGTCAAACTTCCAGCCCCAGAACCTCAACCACTCTAGCGCTAGCGGTGTAGNNACCAAAACTGTTGCTCAGGGAAAAACGGCACGTCACAAGGCTACAAAGGTCAAGTGCCAAAATCCCTGCCCTTCCAAGGGACACCAGGACGCACCTTGGTTGACAGCAACACCGCACTTAACCAAGCCAAGCCTGGGGGCGGTTACACCAAGGTGTCCTTGGTTGGCCTAAAAGGCAGCAGCCATGGCAGCAACTCTAAAACTGGCGAGAAGCGGGCCTGGAACCCCACACACGGTTAGGCCTCGAACCCAGTTTCGACAGCTACCACTCACTACCTGGCCATTTGAGCCGAGATTGCTTGAGCCAGCGACTTCTGCTTCTTCTTCCTCCTCTTCGTCTTCTACATCATCTTCTTCTTCTTCTCCTTCGTCTTCGTCATCTGGCAATTCATCTTCGTCTTCGTCTTCCAAATCCAGGAAGACAAAAGCTATTTCAACAGCTGAGTACAAGCCAGAGAAAAATCCCAAGGAACTCTTGGCAGGTTACATTTCAATCTCAGAAATCGAGTTATCGTTCAAGGGCCAGTGCCAGTGTACGACCCAAAAGACGGTTCGATTGAGTACAGCGCTCAGGACAGAGCCACGTTTCGCATGAAAAAGGCCAGGGATCAGCTTTTACAACAGTGGCCCAAAGATCAGCATTACTGCCGTAAAGATGAAGCTTCTTTGACCTGTTGGGAGTTTAGACGAACTTTCCGAGCTAAGTTCATGCTGGACTATGTCAAATCCCTACCTTCATCAGGTAGAGCCAACAAAAGTAAGTTCGATCAAACAACTGATCGATGTCTCGCTCGCGCATAAGAGCAGTTTTTGCCCCAGCAAGTTGCGGATACCAAGTTTTCAAGCGCAGTTGAGCGAGATCAGTTTTTTCTGTGCTCAATCGTTTCTGCTGTTGCTGTGATCACTTGCGCAAGAGGCTTTTTCAACACAATCTGAAGCGGTCCACAGAGTGCACCTTGTAGCCAAGAGCCAGTTTCTGTGAGTCATGAAAAGATCTGCTGCGGCGGCTGGCTTCCCGGCAAAGTCCCACGCTGTGAGGGTCGACATCGGCGTGCCAGCCGACCCAGTTACGAAGAATACACCGATGTCCCTACATTTGGTCTGTCACAGCTCTCATAATATTGATGCTTTAAAAAAGATTCTCACCTACCGCCTTCAGGAGCTGACCGGTAAACCACCGCAATTGCATTGTTACCAGCTGCAACGAAACGGACAACATATTGCGTTCACATCACCCAGTACGGAGCCGGTTTCTTTTGTCAGAACTGCACTGGACTATCGCGACCGTGATGACCACGATAATGTTTCAAATATGTGGCGACCACAATTGTGGTGACAAGCCACATTTTTAGCGCAGCAAGCACCGGCAATGCCTGGCGCAGTACAAAGATTGTCATGTGCTTCACACCACTGACGTGGGGTGCGACATGACCCGTTTCAATCCTTGCTTGAGCTGCTGCGTTGTATAATATTCAGCTGTTTTCATCTTGTCGGCTCCAGATTCGTGCGCTCGATTTCTGAGTTTGACAATCCCCACCAGCAAGTGTGCAATGTCTCTCCGTCGATCTTTTGGAGAAGGTTGGAAGCTATGTGACCTCCATTGAACTGCATTTTGGAGTGACGGATTTGGTAGACGAGGCCATGCCTCAGAAGTCACTGCCAATCAATTGTGTCACTGGGCACAGCAAATGGGGTTCCCTTGGAGCGAGAGAGGGAAAAACAACTTTGCCACCACACCTTAAAATCTGCCTTGCTTTCAAACATGGCAACCATAGCTTCTCACGACCTGGGTACAGAATTGCGTTTTCACATCTCCCCACGAAGCCCTTGAATCGGCTCAGGGGACCTGACCAGTCCCCTACCAAGTGAAGTGAAGTGCAGTGCAGTGAAGTGACGGGAGAGGGAGCGAGAAAGAGGGAGATTGAGGTTCCTCTCTTAGTGTGAACATTGTCAGTGCATATGCAACCAAAGCCACGTGAAGTGTGCGGCTGTCAGGCAGTTTGTCGAAACAGGGGGAACGTTCCTTGTTTTAGCTTGTTATTGTTCGAATTGTTCGGAATTTGAAGAACTGAAAGCCTGTGTCGACACCGACCGTTCTAACAACTTTTTTCAAGCATCCCTTTCGAGCTCATGATTCAACCAATTTACTTTCGGGGGGAATGCCACTTGCTCATGACGCCTTCTTAACTTTACTCTTCTCTGAGACCCGTGATTGCGTGGGCAAAGAGTGACACAGCCGGGGGATGCCACGTCCTTGAAAGTGTAATATTGTTTTGTCTCGTGATCGTATTCTTTTAGGCTGATCGTATTCTTTAAGGCTTGCGCCCTTTGGCAAGGTCCACTCGTAGTTCACCTCCCCTGTTCCTGAACATAAGTACGGGTGGGCTTGAGGCGGGGACTTGATCGTCCCCTATGGTCGGGAGAGAGCGATTGAGACCCCTTCCTCTAGCGTGCAGAAACAAGAAAGACCTCAGACTTGCCGAAACACAAAGAGAGAAAGAGAGAGAAAGGGAGGGTCAAACCCCTACACCCTGGCCCTGGCGAAAGAAAGAGAAAGAGAGACTGAGGGCTCCGTGCTTTGCAGCGCTTCGCAGGAGAGCCAAGCCCAGCTCATGCGAGAGGTCTCGCAATACCGCCAAGAGGTGCGAGAGCGGAAAGTCGAGGAATCAGGAGCATTTCTGCAAGATCATGCAAGATGCAGGTTACACCTCGACGGCCTGCTGGCCCGGCTGTGCGGCAGGCTTGAATCTTGATGCTTCTTGGAACCGTTTGGGAAGCTTGCTAGTCACTTCAGTCAGGTTGCAGGTGCACCATTTGGCCCTGTGCCAACTTTACACTTCTCTTCCGGCACAGCCACATGCTCAGCACGTGGCACTTCGCGTATATTGATGACAGGGCCTTGAACGTGCCTCAATAGTCGTGCCTTGGAACTGAGACAGGTGGTCCTCTGCTTGCATGAAGCCCTGTCGATATTCGCCTGAGAGTTTGATGAAACTTATGTTTACATATACTTCATTTCTGGTCTTTCAACATGCGACATGCTGCACTGCTGCTCCACTCGTTTGACGGCTGGAAAGGCCAAGTGTTTTCGAAGTGTGCATCTCCCGTTCCGGAGAATTCGAGCTTCTACTTAGTGTTGGGCTCCTTATTGTGATGGCCTGTGCTGCACACTGTCCCTCCTACAGCGATTGTGTTTGTTCCTCACTGCGTTCTCTTCCCTGCACGCTGGAACTAGCAAGGGCGAAAACGAAAGAGTGGCCTGGTCCAGACATCTGGGGACCCACGTCACGATAGCAGAACCAAAGAAGAGCACCGTGCAGCTCGTCAGCGTGCTTCAACATGTGCAATTCCAGTGCGTGGTATCGCTACTGACATCTCTGCTGCTGCAGCGACGACATCCGAGCTTAAGAGCAACAAGCCTTGATTCGACATCAAACGTGACTAGCAGATCTTCATGCGGAGCGGCTCTGTTCAAGAGGTGCCAACGCACATCTAGAGTCTGGAAGAGGTTTACATGCAACGGCAAAGGTTTGAACATCGAGACTTTTTATTGATCGAAAAGGGTGCTGCTGGTACGTCGAAACCAAAACAGTGCACCAGGCTGTAGAAGGCGTTTGCCGTCATCTTTGCGATGCAAGCATCCTGGGCTCATGTTGCCGGCAAGGTCGCGCCTGCTCCTCCATTGTCCAACTGCATGGCGAGTTCCCAGCCAGGCCGTGGATTGCAGAATCTTCCATGAATCACATCAGCCTAGTGCAAGTAAGGTCCATCTGCACACATGATTGACAAGTGTGTATTTACATGCATGTGTGCAAGCACACGCAGACGTAGGCAATATAGACAGGTAGATGGTTAGTCATATTCAGATCGTTAGGCAGACAGACATAGAGATAGATAGATTGCTAGATAGATAGGTAGATCGATAGACTGGCCTGCCGAACGTGGGCTCTGTCCGCTTTCCCACTTTGCAAAATTCGGTCCAATATCATGGATCAGAGGAAGGAGTGGCGTACTGGAGCTGTTTGGTTACGCCGCAGAGTCGTGGGGTGCCAATGGCCGAAGTGCTTCAGCAAGGCTTTCGCAACGCCCAGAAGAGCGAGGAATTGGGGGGTGACAGTAGAGAGCCAGACCGTCGTCCGACTGCATGCCGCGTGGCACGACTGGCTCGAGAGAGCTTTCATCAAGAAGAAGAAGAAGGAGCGTTCCATGACATCCAGTGTATTGTTGCATCTTATTCTGAAGGATCTTGCTGTGCTGGGAGTGCTTGTTTTGGGAATGCACTAGATTATGTTAGGAATGCCAGCTCTGATGAGCCACGGTAGTATGTCAGTCATGCACATTTATGCTTTCGTATGCTGCCCCTGTTATATACAGTCATTGTTTTCTGCTAGAGTATTGCAATGCCGTGGCCTGTGCTACGTCCTGTTTTGAGATCCGACCTTGTGCCACTTTCAAGATGGTTTCTTGCATCGTTGCATCTATCTTCAGATTGTATCGGGGAGTAGCATGTCATGAATCATGCATGTTCGTGCCATGTCCATTTCCTGCTCGATTCCAGTGTACGAAGCATCATCTAGTCACGGTTGCATTTGCAGTCGGGCCGAATTATTTTACCTGGGTTATCTCATATTCCGCACATGCATGCAAACAACCATGCACGCATGCCTGAGGCAGGCAGGCAGGCACGCAGGCAGGAGATGCAATCAGCACGGATACGCTGAGTTGTGGCAGGGAGTAACCCGGTGACTCCTCGCACGACGCAGCTGAGGCAAGTTGGCTCGTCACAATATTGAAGACGGGTAGTGAAAGGAACTGCTGACAGATTGCTGGCGCGAGCATCCCAATCTGATTTTGAGCACTCCCAGGATTCAGACCAGAACACAGGCGAGAGGGGCCCGGTGCCCAGCAGCCTTGCAGGGCATCGAGGAAGAGGATGGTACCCCGGTGCCTGAGGCAGCGGCCAGTCCAGTTCCTGCCTTCGGCCAGGCAGTCGCCTTGTTCCATTAGGGCATTTACCAAAGCAAGAGACAGTCAGTCTCAAAGTCGAGGCTCGAGTGGCCTACGGCTACATGAGTGCAATGGACAGGAGATGGGTTTCTGATTCGGCTTGATCCACATCCAAAAGATTCTCGAATTCCCGAGTGCAGGATCCCCCGTGAACCCCTCAGTGCCGTTGGGGTCCTAGCTTCTTGGAGGATGCGACGACGTGAATCGGTATGGATTTTGAGCAGCTCACCCAAGTCTGCAGGCTGCACCGCCCCAGGTGCCCATGAACTCAGCTGCAGACTTAAGTTGCTTGAAAACGAGTTGAGTATACGTGCCAAGTGGTTGAGTTTGGCTCCAAGGTGGGCGTCACAGCGGCGGCTGCAGCCGCAGCGGCTGGCCGAAGCACACCCACAGCAAAGGCCGTAGCCTCAGCAGGGGCGATCTGAATGCTGGTTTTTTCGTTGAAAGCGATCTCAGGTTAAGGTCAGCCCCGTCCGGATCTCCGGCCTGAGGGGCTGAAAGATGTGAGAAGACCTGTAGTTTAGGGTCACCGGGATGCCCAATGTATGTCAATGTTTAAACAGCGCAGCCAACGTCGAGTTATCGCAGCTGCGAAAACTCAGCCCGTCCATCAGGGAGTTCAGTCTTGAGCACCGCTGGGAGGTGACAGCATCCAGGTCGCAAGATGCATCTGGAAAGCATCTTGATGCTCAGCAAGTCTATTGGCATAGGTCAGCACCTAGCCGCTCCGAAGACGAAGATATCAGGCTTCAAGAATACTCACGGCCAACAGACCGATAAGCCTTGCGTTCAAGGCATGCTGGTTTTCTCCGCTGTTTTTGGTGGTGTTTGGACAATCTGGGGAGCAGTTGTCGCTTGCTATTTCGGGAGCAAGAGTCCCACGTGGTTCCACCAGCCGGGAGCGCAACTAACTGGAGCTTGGCACCCGGAAGGACTGGAGGAGACTCCGCAGTCTCCAACCGACGGGAGCTGATAAAAGGAGGCATGTCCACATCACCATACAGCACTGCCTTACGAATGGGAAACATGACTGGCAGGAAAACAAGGATCCCCAAATCAGGTTCCCAAACGTTATAAATTGCTGACGGCTTTCATTCTGGCCGGACCGACGATGCCAGATATCATGGTGTGCAAGATGGCACTTCGCCCTCAATGATGATTGCTTGCCCTCCCTGACTTGGACGTTGGCTTTGTAAGTGTCGGGGCTGATCTTTGCATGCCGGTTGTCGAAAATGGCACCACCTTGATCTGCCAAGGAAGCAAGGAAATAACGGCCACGATCCTCGGTTTTCGAAGCATCCACTTCTCAAACAACTGCTTTGTCCAGATTTTGCTGCACGGATATCGGCAGCTGCCAGACTAAATATTGCAGTCCGAGCGGGCGTACTTACCGTCCAATGCAGGGTGCTCCCCGCCTCGCGGGTCATTGCCTTGAACTTGTCATACTTGTCACTGGCGCCCGGGACCTGGGAGTCACAAGCCTTCATGTCCGACGCATCGTTCTGGTTCGAAACGGCAAAGCCGATCAGTTATCCAGACTCTCCGATAGTAAGGTCTCAGGCATATTCCTGAAGAGGCAACAGCAATGCGCATTCTGTGACCCTTAGCCGTTGGAGTCAACGACTGGCGAACCAACTGCTGCCGAAACCCCTGTGGCATTGCAACATTGGCCTTGTCATCATTGTCCTGCACCGATGGCAACATCTGATAACCCAAGAGGCCAGCCACCCAAGCTTACAGAACAATACTGCGTAGCCAACTCACGCACCAAGCAGTGGCGACATGCATGCCAGACCCGCTCATCGTGAGAGTGGAGCCTACACGCAGCATCTCTCCAGCAGGGGTGGTTGTACCGTGGCAGAGTCAAGCATGCCTTCCTTCCATGGCGGGGCAACGGTAGCAAGGCACCGGGGCACATCAAAATTCCTCCTCACCAGGCGATTTGGCCGCAGTGGCCACTCAGTATAGTAGAGGAAGATGCAGAGGTGAGTGGGGACATGCTTGCAGGTTGCTCGCGAAAGTGCCGCAGATGCCACCTCGGCTCAAGCATGCTCAAGCCAAGCGAGACAACCAGAGCTCCGGCCCTGCGAACCACGCATACACCGCAGCCTGTTTACGAAACCGCAAACGCCATCGCCTGTTCGTTGAAAGAACGCAGCGTGTTCCCAAATTGCTTGGGCACTTGGCGCGGCACGCCAAAGGCCTGACTTTATCGTAGATCCAGGTATTCTGTCGCTGCCCAGCTACAGCCCTCAGAAGGTTCGTTGAAGATGGGCGATGATTTCATCGCAACGAGCATCAAGTACTACATACTGCGTGCAGCGAGCCTGGATGAACTCGCAGGACAAGTCTTGAAGCTCAGCAGTGTGGAATGTGCAAAAGATGTCTCCGAGGCGAAGAGTAGATCCAGCATTTGACTCAGGAGTTCTTTGCACGTTCGCCCTTCGATCGGCGTCCGGACAGCTTGCCCATGTTGCCGGCTGGACTTAGGCAAGACCTCAGCAGCCACTGCCGTCGTAGGGGTGCTTGGCCTGTATGTCTAGTGTGCTTCAAGAGCTTTCGGTGAGCTCCGCGATGCCGCGATGCCGAGGCGGTGCAGAAGTCGGGTGCTCTCCTGAGATGCCTCCACGCATGCCTGTCCCAGCATAGACCGAACTTAGAGCCCCATCGCTAGACGGTCAATACCATAAGCAGCTGTTGGAGGGCTGAAAGCAGCAAGTTCCTGGCATCATGCAAGTAAAACCGAAACAGATGTGTCAGAATCGTAATCTCGGAGCTGCTTCTTGGACGTGTTTTGATGTGTTCTGCATTTCTGCAAGGTCGGGACTCGAATGTTCTGTCTCTGACCCGACACTTTCGCATGGTGAAGCTGAAACCAAGGCGGCGGATATGCAGTGAACGGTACGGTCATCTGCTCAGTGCCTGCCAGCGCCAGCCGTCAGCGGCACCAGCAACTCGAAGCCTGGCCGAAATGCCTCCGAGGCCTCGAAGCCGAGCGGATCGCTAAGACTGATGACTTTTGCTGCCCGCTTCGCGGCTTCGCTGCTCTCGTATCGGGCTTTGTATGAGCCGAAGGTTCGGGCACATCACCTGACAAAGCTGCAGCTGGGCCCTCATCGCGTTTCCTTCGCTTTCGTCTCTGCGCTCGTGGATGTTTGTGGCAGGGGCGCAACGGATGGGGAGAGCCCGCCCCACCTCCCGATCACAAGCGGTTTCCCGCGATTTGGAGTATAGTGTACTTACCGTCTCGTACAGTTTAGTGACACCCACGGGCCCTACCTCCGCAGGGGAGTTCTGAAAGCCTTCCGGCTTCAGCTCGAGCGACTGGTCAGTTCGCATGGGAGACAGAGGGAGGTAACGGATACATGCTGGAATATCTGCCCTGCAACCCATGCAGAGCAGCCGTCAGTCATGTCACAGTGAAATGCTTCCGGTGCTCGGGACATGTTGGGCCAGAGCCTGCAAGGTTTCGAACGACGGGGCCGACCGCTTCGCCGTGAACCAAAAAGAGGTCCTCGAGCTGTGCAAGAGGTCACGGGTCCACCTGTCCAAAGGCCGTGCTACGGCTCGGATTTGATGCCTTGTGAGGCGATTCTTCTACAGACCGGGGTCTGACATCTACGGTTACTCGCATCAGACTGCTTGCAAGAAGCATCTGATGCTTCTCTGTGCAGAAAACCTGAGGTGGAGTTGCGGGCTTCTTTACGTACGGACCGCCTGGGCGGGAGCTCCGGAAATTCCCTATCTTGGACCGGAGACGACCACCGAATCTGACATCTCAGGTGTGCAGTGAAGAACAATCTCATTCATGCGCGGAGGGCTGAGAATTCAAAACTCGGTGGGATTCTTCAAGCTGAGCCGTTCTGACGGCAGTACGGGTGGAACACGGCTCAGAGCACTCGTTCTGTTCAGTCGTGTCGTGTGCCACAAGCTTGCCGGCCATGGCTTTCCGAGCTTTGTTCGTGTTCGTGAGCATTGCGAGTGCCTTCGGCGAAGATGTGGCTTCCGCCTTGGCATCGGATGACGTGTGCGAAGGGCAGGATTGCAGCCTGGAGCTCCACCAGCTGCGCGGCATGAAGGTCAACTACCTGGAGGCGTTGGAGGATGCCTCCGAGGAAGAGGAGGAGGAGGCCGTGCAGGCGGAGCAGGAAGAGGAGGCTGAGGCTGAGGTCGAGGGCGGTGGCTGCATCGGTGCTGCAGACATGAGGACTTGGAAGAGTGGAGGAAGGAGGAGCTTCGACGCCGCCCTCAACAGCTGCGGCCGCGGCTGCGCCGCTGGTTTCCCCTGCACCAAGGACATGGCATTCTGAGTTACATAGATGACATAGACAGCTTATCGTCAGTGCTTACAGGTGCTGTAGCTTCACTCCATGAGTAGATATGTATGTGAGAGGGAGTCTGAGAAGCGCTGCGGCGCGTGGAGGACTGCATGCAGAAGAAGGGCTATTCGGGCAGCTGTGCATCCTGCATGGCCCAGTTGGTGGGCTGTTCGAGGGACCACTGCATGAACCAGTGCATCTCGGCTGAAGGGGAAAATGTCGAAGATCGTCAGTTCCGACAACCCGTCAACCCCCTTAGATTCCACAACTGTAATCTGCATGTGTGAGACATGTCGGTTGTATGCGAAGTGAGCTGCTTTTCGTGTCTGGTGCGCAAACGATGCAGGCATCACGAACGACAAGTCTCCTGCTTGCACGCACTGCGTGAAGTCCGCCTGCCGCCCGAAGATGAAAGCTTGCAGTGGGCTGGCTGTCGGCGGCCACTGAGGAGGCTGTGATTAACCCAACGGCTGCACAAGCACCAGTCCGCCCAATGCGGTGTGTCTGTCTGCGACTGCTGTATGCCAATTGCGAGGGCGTGCAAACGGGCAGACGGCCAGGCTGCAAGCAGGGCCACTGATCGCTGCCATGCCTGTCCTCTCTGACCCCCTTTCAGGATCGGGACATTTGTCGGTCACTTTTCGGCAAATCTACGGGGTAGGTGTTTCTGAGCAGACCGCCATGCAGATTCTGTTTTTTCGTTACTTAGGGCTTTTGGGCCGGGACCTGGTAGCCGGGCTCTGGGCCACTTGTGAGGGAGTCACGTTCAGACAGCGATCTTTCGCGTGCCCGGAACCTCTTCCTTCTGCTTGAGGTGGAGGCAATTCTTCGTAATTTCCGAGCATCTTCTCGAAATCGAGGACCTGCTGATGTGTAAGCGCAACAGAAAGCAGATAAATGAATATGTGTTCAGATCATCATCTTACAATACTACAAAACATACATAAGTAGGGATGCATGCATGCATTCAGGCAGGACAGGCAGGCAGGCAGGCAGGCAGGCAGGCAGGCAGGCATGCATGCGTGTACATGTACGTCAACAGTGTTCACCCGTATATATCATGCATACCTGGATGGATGGATGGATGGATGGATGGATAGATGGAATGACGGAATCTTGGAGTGATTTGGCCACGGACGGACTGACGGAGGATTGAGGGAGGGAGGGATGCACGAATGGACTGATATGTGTGTGTACGCCAGCACATTACACACACACACACATCTATATATATATATATATACATATGTATATGTACACACATATATATATACACATGTATGTATGTATGTATGTATGTATGTATGTATGTATGTATGTAACTGTATGTATGTATGTATATGTATATGTATGTATGTATGTATGTATGTAACTGTATGTATGCATGTAGGTGTGTATAGATAGGGGTTTCGATGTAGATGGAGGTTTATGCGTATATCAACATAAGTACCAGTAACAAGATAGATGCACACATGTATATATGTGCGTGTAGGTCTACACCACAAAAACCTACCGTGCACGCTTATTTCCTTAAACCATCACCTGCAAATCTGTGCATGCTATATACACACATATTTACATGCACGTGTATTTTGTAGTTACGACAGGCACGGGCCTGCATATATGTATGTATGTATGT